GCTAAGTAGTATTCCATATTTTATGTATACAAAATTTTAATTATTCATCTTTTGATAGACAACTAGCTTCATTCCACGTCTGTAAATAAAGCAGCAACAAACAAACCCGGAGCACAGATATCTCTACAGCAGGCTGTGGTGTTCTCTGGTCTGTGGCCAACAGTGAAATGGGTCATATGGTAGTTGTATTTACATTTTTGATAAACCTCCAAACTGATTTGCACAAAGACTGTATCATTTGAAGCCTCATCACCAGTGAGTCGGGGTTCCTTTCTCACCACATCCTCTACAGTTCTGTCAGACTTCTCCAGAGCAGCCGTTCTGATTTTACTTTGCATTTCCCTGGTGGTTAGGGATACTGAACACTCTTTAAAATAATTATTGGCCATTTGTGTGTGTGTGTTTTTTAACTGTCTACTCAGTTCACTTGCCCATTTGTTGATTGGCTGTTTTAGTTCCTTGGTATTTAATATCTGCAATTCTTTGTAAATTCTGGATATTGGCCCTTGTTTGAAGTGTAATGAATATTGGATTTCAAACACTTAGAAAGAAAGAAAAAAAAGGCAAAGAAAAATATTCAATTTATAATTTTGTGAAGTAGTCCCACATTAAACTTACAATCTTTTTTGGGTTTTTGTTTTGTTTTGTTTTTTTTCAAGACAAGGTTTCTCTGTGTAGCTTTGGTGCCTGTCCTGGAACTCACTCTGTAGCCCAGGCTGGCCTCGAACTCACAGAGATCTGCCTGGTTCTACCTCCTGAGTGCTGGGATTAAAGGTGTGTGCCACCACCGCCCAGCTAAACTTATAGTCTTTTGAACATATTGATTTAAATAAACTAGGTTGTTAAACTGTGAAAATTAGATATCTTCTCTCTTATCAGTTAGGTAAGAGCAAAAGTCTGCAATCAAGCGGTGAGAACTCTACTTTCTGCTCAGCCCTGAGTGAACAGAGACCTTAGGAACAAGGACTAAGAGTTCATCAGATGAGTGAGTTAAGTGATACTTAGAGGATGTCAGCTCCAAAGAAACAAGATATTAACACGTGGTGTTATAAAGAAATGCAGCCGACAACATACAAGGGATTAGTGGACGTGTAGGATTACATGCTAGGTGGATGACTATTTGGTGACCAGAGATTTGGTGAGCATGGACATTTCTGTGGGGGTGGCAAGGAAAGCATAAACCTGAAGTTGAGGGGAAAGGCTGGGGAAAGTTAACAGATGGGCAACTGCAGAAACCGCAGAGAATTTATAAGGGATGGGGTCTATCAAAGGTTTAAGTAGTGGAACAGAATAAGCTCTTACTCACAAAAATATGATATGAAATTACATAGGAAGAAGTCGTTTATGCCATGCAGAAGCTTAAGATTAGTTTAGCAGGAGAAATGAGCCTGCCGTATGCTGGCGAGTAATGGCATTAAGTTCCGAGTGCTGGCTTTGCTGCATGTAGGTAGAATAGTACTGGGAATACTTCATTACATTTTGCTCTGGTGGTGAGCATTTTTATTTTCTTGTTATCCAACTCAGGATTAATTTTTACAACTTACTGAAACATAATGTTCAAAGAGAATAGTTTTCCTATTGTTAATACTGCAGCTTGTATTTTTACAGCTATGAGCATATCCATGAAATCAGCATCTACAGCAAGGAAGAGCACTGTAGCACCCCACACACCCACTCACACAGAGTGACCACCACCCCGACTTCTAACAGCATACATTAGCTTTGCCTGGGTTAATACTTCTATATAAATGAAATAATATACCATGTAATCTTTTGCACCCCATGCTGAATTACAAAGCATCAGTCTAAATTAAGGACAACTGAAGCTCAGCTTCAACATTGTGTTTGGATAAGTCTCTTAACATAAGCCTACTCCACAGCCACAGAAGTGAATTACAAGAGTGTTTATCTCAAAGGAGTGCTGTAAGGATTCAAATGAGCTTAAGTACAAAAGAGTTTAGCATAGTAACCGGCATGTGGCTGCAGCTGCTATACTGAACTCAAATTTTAGTCTGCATAAACCCTAGCTCTGTTTGGTGGGTGGGGGTGGGGTGGTGGTCACTCTCTGGGCTGAGTCCAAACATTCCACTCACATGTAATAGCAAACTTGGCTGCTGGATGTAGCTAACTTTTTTGGCCAACAGAGAAGCATTTCTGTTACATATTTTCCCCTTCATCTAGAATATCAGCTTCTCTAGAATATCAGCTTCTCTGATACTGATGACCTTAATGAAACACCATTATGACGGCCACACTTGCCTTCTCAGAGTACACCCGGAACCTAGCATGGAAGCATGGGGAGTACTCAGTTAAGCTGCATAAGTGCTAACTGTTTTAGGACTTAAGAAACTGTCAGACTACTTAAACCTTTGAGCTATGGTTGACAAAATTATAGTAGTTAGAACTGAATAGAGCTGACAAGATGGCTCAGTAGATAAAAGTTGCCTGAACTCCATCCCTGGAACCCACGTGATTCAAACACATTCTGTACAGGGCACTTGAATAAGCACACCAGTTCTAAGAATTTCAGAAAGAACGTAGTATATACACTATGAAACTAAGTTTCCCTCAAATCCAATCGCTTTAAAAGTACTTGCACCAAGATACTAAGTTTTCAAAGTCTTCTATCACACTGGCCACAAAATTTCTAAGTATACTTTTTCTTGTCTTTCTATGTCAAGTATTCTTGTTGAGCATATTTGTATTCATTTCAAAAACAAAACAGTGGAAAGTGAATATCCCAAACTTACCCTCTACTACCTAATACATTTTCATTCTCAGAGAATAAGTATCTCTTCAAATACTATCATCTGTTTTATATTAGAAATTAAAGGTCTGATTACCTGGCTGGCTTATCACTCCTTAAGTAATAAATCAAGCAGTAAATTACATGGTATTGAAAAAAATGAGCTAAAAGATTCTCAAAAGTTTTCTTAGCTATAAGGCAAAACTTGTCTTATGTAAATAACCAAGAAATCAAAGCTATTTATAAACCTGTTATGTAAGTATAGCTAGTACTTCCTGATAAAATCTAATTACTAAAACTCAACATTTACCAAGATTTTCTAAGCCCCATTGATAGACTCAGAAATGAAATAATCATAAATAGCAACTCCTACTCTTTAGAAATATGAAGAATAGTGTGAACATTTTACGAAGGACTCAGGAAACGCTTCACAGGCCTGTGCTATATGGCTGACATTTTAGCATTCTAAAGAGAGCAGAAAAAAAGACGGTAACATCACAAACACAGACATAAAAAAAATCATATATATAGATGTTCTTGGGAGAGCTAAGTCACCAGTAGGAATGAAAATGAAGTGTGGAAACCAGTCTCAACTAGGAAATAAATTAGAATCACCATTATTTAGGCAACCCCAGAGATTTGATCACATCTACATGTGGTTATCATTTCCTTCTATTAACATCTAAGGTGAAAATATACCTAGTCCCCTGAAACTTTATTTTCCATACAAATGAATAGAATTCTGGTTTCATATATCAAGTCTTAAAAAATTATGTAAGCCTTTTACTGAGAGGTAAACTCATCTTCAGTGAGTTAATTCCCACAGATTGCTAGGCCTAGAAAACTAAATCATGGTGATGAACTAACTCACTAAGATACTGCAATATTGCCAATACCTGTCTGGTGGCCACTTGGCCATTCCCAGACACTCTAATGGCAGGGCAGTTTCTTCATTTCTATAGAATGAAGCTCAGAACAATGTGCAATAATTCAAATTCATTTGAGATAAAAGTGGCCTTATGCACAGAGTCTTCATGACAGACTTCAATATGGGGGTTGAAAGAAGCTAAGAAATTATTCAGCTGATGAACAAAGGAAAATCAACTCCATTTAGAAACGTGACAAAGGAAGGGCAGGTCCAGCTGGGGACAAGAAATCTGCTTTGAACATTCTATTTCCAACATCAATAAAGTTACATGGACTTATTTATTATTTATTTTTTTTCAGTTCCCCCTTTCTCCCCTTTTCCTGCCTTCCCACAAGCCCATCCACTCTCAGAGGGGGTAAGTCAACAAAGTCTGGCATACCAAGTTGAGGCAGGGCCTAACCCCTCCCCGCTGCATCAAGGCTGAGCAAAGTATCCCACCTTAGAGGCTGAGCTCTAAAAAGCCAGTTCGTGCACCTCATATAAGTCCTGGTCCCACTGCCAGTGGCCCCACAAACAGATCAAGCCTCCCAGCTGTCACCCACACTCAGAAAGCCTAGTTTGGTCCCATGCGGCTCCCCAGCTGTCAGTCCAGAGTCTGTGAGCTTCCACTAGCTCGGGTCAGCTGTCTCTGTGGTTTTCCCCATCATGATCTTGATCCCCCCTTGCTCACATGATCCCTCCTCCCTCTGTTCAACTGATCTCCAATCCCAGAGAAGCTAGGTAAAAAGGAGGAACCTAAGAGGGATACAATGGAGGGTCCCAAGAAAGGGACATAGTTAAGATCTCCTGGGTAAACTGGGAGGGGGGAGTAGAAGGGAGGGGGTGGGGGTGGGGAACATGAGGGATCAGCATGGTCAAGTTGGGGGAGGGACAGGGAGGGAGAGCAATGAAAGAGATATCTTGATAGAGAGCCATTATGGGGCTAGGGAGAAACCTGGTGCTAGGGAAATTCCCAGGAATCCACAAGGATGGCCCCAGCTAAGACCCATAGCAACAGTGGAGAGGGTGCTTGAACTGGCCTTCCTCTGTAATCAGATTAGTGACTACCCTAATTGTCATCATAGAACCTACATCCAGTAACTGATGGAAACAGATGCAGAGACCCACCCACAGCCAAGCACTGGGCTAAGCTCCTGGAAGTATTTAAAAGGAAGTTGAAATGTTTCTAAATGAAAGTTGGTGGACAGGCCACATTTGTTAATAGAGGAAATCACCTGCAAAGGAACTTCTAAGCGTACAGAGGGTAAGAACTCAATGTTTGACTCAGGTCTTAAGGGTTCAAACACATCCATCACACAGAACCAAAGTGAAATGAGCAAGGCCAAGTCAGCTTGTACACAGATGCTTTATTTGGATGTTAATAGATTTCAACATTGTCTGCAAGATTCTCTTACAATGCAAAGTTTTCTCATATATTAAAAAACTCAATTTGGTCAGTGTAATTGCTGTATTGATGTGAAAACCTTACAACAAAATGCAGTATCATATGTGTGTACTCAGTTTCCATGCATGTATGGCTGCTACCTGTATGCCTGGCACCTTCAGAAAACTGAAGAATTCAAATGAACAGTAAAAAAGATGACGAGATGCCTGACATGTTTGATTACAAATCTTGCAGAAGAAAATAGCAACAAAGCAGTTAACTTGAGGATTCAACCAACACCAACCCAAATATGTACTACGTTCCATAAGCCCAGGATTATATACAATATATTAACATTTGTGTTAACTTAATGCTCAAGAAAAATTATGTTTTAAAATATGTAGCGTGTTTGAGATATTTTACTTTGGCAACTGGAGACTATTGTATCCAATGCAGCTAAAGGCTACATTTTTAAAAGGAATTATGTGCTATTATTACCCCCAAAGTAACTGAAATGATATGATTTTTTTCCACAATCATTGGTTTTACAAAGCAACATTTCTGTGAGAAGTTCATTAATTAGAAAAAAAATCAACATATTTAACATGCTAAGAAGATTCAAATTGTTTTACCTATTTGTTATCAAGAAGGCATAATCTTAGTACCACCACACATATTCTTTACTTCTCACTAACATATAGTATGCAAAAACTAGCAATTGGATTTAAAGCTTAAAACCCTTTTAGGTCTACTGTTGAAGAACTAGGCATTAAAATATTCAGTAGTCCCATTTCTACTAACAGATAAGTAGATTTTTAAAATCTTAAGCTGTTTGGTTTGGTTTGGTTTTGAGGCATAGTAGTGTTTTGGTCTTTGTAAGAATCTGCTTGGTAATAGTTGAATCCATTAAGTTAACTTGAGAACTTGCCATCATTTGCTTATCTTTTCACACAGTGCAAGTGGTGGTCGCTCTTTCCATCTCTCATAGCAGCAAGCCGATTCTGCTACTTTCTATAGCAGCATACTTCAGGAGTGGAGAGGGAGAGAGTGTGTCAATTATAAATAATTCAAACTACAGTGTACAATTCTATTTGCCTGTCAGTGTTTAGGTTGACAGCACACCATTATATGTCTCAAAAATTACATAAAATCTCTACCACATAAGCAAAGACATTCTTTCAAAAAGAAATAAAATAAGTGCAAACACCTAAACAGGCAACTGAAGCAACTGTTGTAACCTGGAAACACAAAACATTTATAAAAGGACAAAATATTTGTATAAATAAAAGATAATATTTTCTAATTCTGAAATATTGAGTAAATACAATAAACTTTCTAAGTGCAGACTGTTTTAGGGAGTAAGGTACCATATTGTTTTTTAAACAAAATGAAAATTTCAAACACATACACAAATCACCAGATTAATTTATATGACCTCCAATATAATTTAAAAAGAAAATATTAAATTATTATTTAGTACATTTTAGAACTACTTTATAACCAACATGATTTAAAGGATATAGTGCAATATTTAGGTAGATGTGACATACAGTATAGATATTGTATTCTTTGCAGCTATAACTTAACTATTTCATACGTGAAAGTCAAAGTTATTCTTTACTAGGTTAACTGTGATGACAAGAAACAACAATGGCTTCTAGACACCCTGTATATATATAATTATCTACATTTAAGCTTTAAAAATGAAAATAAATTATAAAAACAGACATCTTTCTAATTTACACAGTTTTCCTGCTCCTACATACTGTACAATACATTCAACAGAGTTCTCAGCTCTTCTGAGATTTATGAAGAAATACTGACTCTTTACTAGTAAGAAAAAGCCCGCTTTCAATGCTTTTATAGTACTATGCTCAAATAAATATGCTTAACACTGTAGTTAATTTCATTGTTTCTGAAAAATACCAAAAATTAGTAGTGCAACTTTCTAGCTTCCTTGAGACTCTTTCCCACTGTGTTTCTTTATAAATGGTAATCTAAATAAATCAGCACACATGCAGAAGTACTTCATAAAGCCCCTGTGCTTCCTAAATAGAGACTTTCAGAGATCACACATAACTTGTTCATAACAGACCACATACAGCGTTGAGAAAGTAGAGACATATATCCGATAAAGAAGTCATCTGAAAATTTACTTTGGAATATCTATGAACATCCTTATTTTCCCATTTTGTTCTTTAAAAACAAATTTTAAAACTCTCATTTTTTAAAATTAAGTAATGAATTTGCCTACCCCTTACTTTAAGTGGCGTTTTTGCCTGTCCAATATAGAAAAAAAATGCAAACTATTTTAGGAATGTATTAAAACCTTTAAAAGAATTGAGACAAACTTCATTGCAACCTAATTTGGCATAAAATACAGTAAGGCGGCAGGCCATTTTATCAGCTTTCGTAACAATTAGAGTATGAGAGCTCTTGAAGTGCTGCTGGCAGCTGTGTAAGTACTCAGATATCTTCTCGCTTGTTCAGTCATGATGAGCTGGTCTTCTGTCTTCCCATATACCACCGTTTCCCATTCACAATTTGACTGTGAAGGAAGTATCAATAGTGATGTAAAAATTAGTAAAGTTAACTACCCAAACCACTTCATAATTAGAGTGTGTTTGTGCTTATGTGTATGTGTGTGTGCATGCATGCGTGTGTGTAACATGCCACACAATGTACGTAGAAGTCAAAGGACAAATTTCTACCATGTGGACCGCAGAACCAAACTTAGATCATAAGGATTGGTAGTAAGCACCTTTATCCACTGAGCCATATTGCCAGTCCACATAACTAGACTTTTAAAAATCAATTATTTTGACTAGGAATTTTATAAGTAATTGTTATAAAATGTTTTGATAACAATATCATATCTTTTAAAATGAGATGCTATATTTTTAAACACATATTAAAATATATATGATCAATTTTGTGTAATTATTATAATTGTGTATATTGTTCACTTGCCTATGGTGACAGTATAATAGTTTTGCTCCCAACAACTCCCCACAAATCAAATGAATCATAAAAGGACAAGAAATATTAACCGCTTTTGTACCCAAATTTTGCAACAGTTCTAAAGAGAGGAGCTGGAGATGTAGCTCACTGGTAGAGTATTTATCTAGCATGTGGGAGGCTTGGGTTTGGTCCCCAGTATCAAGAAAAAAGAAAAGACTTAGAAGGAAGATGTAATATCAAAAAGTAAACCACAGGCACACCCTCTTTGCTTTCTTCCCTATCAAAGGATAAAGATTTCTATTATATGTAAGAGTTACCACATAATGAACTCTCCTAAGAATCTCTATGTTAATTAAACACTGGGAATGCAAAGCATTTTACATCAATTAAGGGAATGCATTATGTCACTCTCTGAAAGCCATGGCTCAAGTCAGACAGGTAGCTATATCTGATTGCCAAACATATTTTCAAAGAATCCTTGAACGTCAGGGAAACTATTCTGCAGTCAGTGTAGCATGAAGAAGAAATCTTCCTCTCCAACAATTCATATTCTTTGGGCAAACTCTTAAGATACCAAGCGAAGAATTTCACCAGCCTTCATTTGCATCTACTTACTGGACACAGAGGAATAGGGGAAAATTATTTGTTTGATAGCTTCTGATCCACAGAGTTTATTGGGAGCTATTATATCAATAAAATCATGCTGAAAATGCTTCCAACTACTTACCATTTCAGGACAACAAATGTGGCTATTCATTTTTATTTTACTGGTGAAGAAGTGCCAGAAGTGGATTTAAATATATGCACATACTGATTAAGGAATCATGAAAGGGCTGGGCATGATGGCACAAGTCTGTATCCCGGGATTTAGGAAGCGGAAGCTGCAGGACTATGATTTCAAGGTCAGCTACAAAGTGAGGTGAGATACTATCTCAAAACAACAAAACCCTAAAAATCTTTGGCTACGACTTCAATTGTATAGATGGTATGTGCACTGATGAATGAGTCTCTCTCAAACCCAAACCTGCTTTCAGTGACAAAATAATAATTTTTTATTATACTTATCAATTTAAACTTTAAAAGAAAAACTATTAACTTATGATCAGTAAGTTTAAAGTGATCATTGACTAAACAACAACAAAAATCACTAAAGAAACTTATAAATCCATACCTGAAGATTCTTTTCCAATTTGACAACTTTAGAAGTGTTAGGGTTTGGTTTCTTTTTAGTAAGTGTATATGTTTTGTTGGCTGAATTTATATCTTGTTTTTCAGGAGTCAAGTTGCACCTATTGTCATGTATTTCCAATAATGGTATCATTAATAAAGATGTTGTAAGTATATTTTCTGACTAAGAGAAAAAAGAAAGAGGAAAATAACTAATTCAAAAGTAGAGACAAGAGACTACTGGGTAAGTGGTATTGGAAGCCCTGTTAACTTTCCTCTTAGGAAGCATTTGGCTCTACGGAACTATAGCTAGTGCTATAGTAATATCTTGGTAATTACACAAAATAAATTTCTATGCTATAGTAATATTTTGGTAATTAAAATTTAAAGCTTTGTGAATCACCATTTTTTGACATCATACAAAAGACTAACTTCTCTCAAAATAAAACAAGTTTAAAAAATAATATATTCTTCATAGATAACAAACTCTCTCTGAATTAGGCAAAACAATCCTAAATTTCCTATGATACTCCTTTAAATGATCTGGCCAAGCAATGAATACAAAATGAGAACCACCATGACTTAAGACAGACATTTAAAAACATGTATGAATTCTTCACAAACCTGCATGTCTGAAATGTCTTCAGTTAGTAGCTGAGTGCCTGGTTCTTCTTTGTCCCAGCTATCTAAGGCTAGTGATTTTCTGACTTTCTTCACAGATGAAGAATGCTAAGAAAAATAATACAAGGTAACATTATATCCAGTCCCTTGGACATGATAAAGACTTTCATTAACAGTAATACTGGAAGAGCTGACATGGAAAAGCACACCCACAATCACAGCTCTCAGAAAGTACAAGAAGGAGATTCACAAGTTTGAGAGCAGCCGAAGCTACATAAAGACCCTCCTCTCACTATGGAAACAAATACATAAACAATATTCAAGATTACCTCTTGCTTGCAGCTTTTGTAAGCAGGTTCATCTTCTTCTTTGAGGAATATGTCTGTTCCAGTTTCTTCTTTTAAAACTTCTCGAATGTCTTCTTCCAAGAAGGCAAGTGGCTGGGACTAAATTATTTTTTTAAAGGTTTTAAAAGGCAATTGCCAGAAATTCCTTTTTTTCTTTTTGTATATTAAACCCTGTCTTTTGGCCTGGGAAGAAAAGAAGCCTGACAACTCAAGTTCCATCCCTAGAGCCCATGGTGGAAGGAGAGAGTTAATTCCCTAAAGCTGTCCTCTAACCTCCTCAAGAACATCACGCCATGTGCATACCCACAATAATAATAAGTGGTTGGTATTTGTTATTTCTAAACTGTCTTTTATACTTTTCTAATATTAACAAAATTATCTCCTACTTGCTATATATATATAAACTAATCAGTTTACAGCAAAATTACTTAAAATATTAATAAATATTAATTAATTTTAATGAACCCATCCCTAAGATTACTAAATATAGATCAAAACTTAAATCACCATTGAAGAAAGCAAATTTAAGTCACATTTTTCTTTCTAATAAACTTATAAAATATCTGCATACATCTAGAATGTTCTGGGCTTTTCTGAGGTATTTTAAAGATAACAATATTTATGAGAACACAAGTAACTAAAACATTTCACAGGTGTGTTAATTCATGAACTATTGTTACCACAGCTACAAAAATAATAGCAGTAACAACTCACTATATTGAAACTAGAGACAAGCCCCTTTATTTGTATTGTCTCTTTTAGCTTCACAATAAAACCTGGGGTGTACTTAATAACTTGTACATAGAAAATTGAATTTCAAAAAGGTTCTCTGACCCATTAGTTTGCTAAGCAGCATTAAGTGAGTAGCTTTTTCAAAATATTAATTCTGCTTCAGTGAAACTACTAAATATATGTTTTAACATTAATAAAAAAGCATGCCACTAACAACTGTTTTCTTCTACTTAACATGAGGACATACAAATTTAAAATGAGCCAGACAAAGGGTTATTTACAGGCCAAGGAAGATTAACACAAATTTACATTCATAAATTAAGAGATAAAATTTTGTTTCAGTTTCAATGAACACTTTTAAATGCTAAAAAATTCAAAATGGTAAAAACAAGTTTCTCTTTAACTAAAACTAGGAAAGTGCTTGAGAATAAAGAGTATTCATACCACAATTTTAAGAGGTCCATATTTCTTTTCCTGAGCAGCAAGTGCATTCTTAAATGGAGTAGGAGTTCTTGGTGTGGTACCCAATATAGATCTTCTAATAGTAGGTGTTCTAAACCTAGTCAATCATTCAGATATTTGTATTATTGTCATGATATGAGTTCATATACGTTAAGGAAGGCAAAGCCATACAAAAATCATAAACCACATTTTTATATAGACATATGTTTTTAAAGCATTACAGAGATATTTAAAATACAGTTGCCTAAAATAATTTATACTCTGATAATTTTTAAAAGGAAAAAACGACTTAGAAAAAGTATTAAGAATATTTTGCTTGAAATAAAAATTATATGCTACATTTAGCCAGTTTTCAGTATTCTACAGGAACAAAACAGAAGACTGTGACTTTAAAAACAATAACAACAAACTTCTAAGTCCTATAGACATAGAGATTATGTGATATGCCATTCACTTGAATAAAATGCTAACATACCCTTGACATTAAGCTTCCTGCTTTCCCTAACATAATTATTCAATACAGACTTACCCTACATTTTCTTTTTGATCTTTGGGAGTTGCTTCCTTCTGAAGAGGAGTTGTAATGAGAACTTTTTGCCCACAAATTGGAGTTGATGTAAACGAAGGGTTTTCTATATTAAGTTGTTCATTTCCAGGACATGTGTTAAAAAACTAAAAGGGGAAGAGAATTCACAGACAATATTTTAGAACATCAAAATTCCTATATAAATATCAAACTGATAAGACTTCTCTATTGTTTTAGGAAGAGATTTTCAACAATATTACATATACTTTCTACTTCATGGAAATTAAGCTCCATAAAGGCAACGCGTTTGTTTTGTTCACTGCTGCCTCCCAGCACCTTAACCACTTTGAACAGGTTAGCATATAAAGAACATTTAAGAAACAGTTGTCTTAAAAATGGTCAAGTTTTTATAACAGCACAAAAAAATTAAAACAAAACAGTATTCTATCAAATATAGACCTACAGAAACCATACATAGTTGTTGCAATAAATCTCCCAGTTTTGTACAAGAGTATAACTGAGAAAGTTAACTGTGAGCTGTTACTCATAAATAATGTTAAGTGTACTTTTTTTTCTTTGAGAATATCTTGAACTCAGACTAGAATAATAGAGTGGGCATGGTGTGTGCACCTGGAGTTCCAACTACTCAGGAAGAACAAGCCTTGGGAAGGGACAAATCTACCTGCCTAGAAGACAGCACAGATACTTTAAGCAGACAAAACACTTTCTAAATTACACAGCGTACTAACTGAGATTTAACTTATATACTATTATGAAACCCTAATTTACTTTTGTCGATGGCAGACTAGAAGTGGTAATATGAAAATCGACTCTCTACCACTCCTGTCTCCTAATGCTTGAATCATCAAACTCTTTCAAAGGATAAAATCCAAATGGCATGGGATATAAGCACCTTCCACTTGTATAGAATTTACTTCAGTGAAAGTTACTAATGTATAAAGCTCTGGAAATGGAAAACTTCATCTTCCTTGGAATAATTTTGAATTTTGAGAGCTAGAGGGAGAATATACTATTCACGTTGTAGTACGTATAAATTATAATACCTCAAACATTTTCAAGTCACAGTAGCTGTGTATTACCATATCCTACTCATCTTCTCAACTTAAAACACACCTCCAATAATATTCCAGCATTATTCTCCATATTTATTTGACCATTAAGCTCCCTACTTCTCTCATAAAACTTTCTAACATGTGTGATGATTAGTGCTGTCAACTTGACAAAATCTAGAATCACCTGGGAAATGGGCCTCTGCATGCTTGTAAGGGAATTAACTTAACTGGGTTAAACGAGGTGGGAAAACCCAGTCTAAATGTGAAGAGGCCATTCTCTGTGTAGCAGAAACTGAGCTAAGCAGCAGCAACATGGACTCACAGCTCTCTTCCAGCTGTGGATGTTAATGCAACCAGCTCTCTCAATTCCTACCACTGTGACTCCTCTGTACTGTCACCTTGAACTTCAGCTAAAATAAATTCTACCCTTCCTTCCTTAAGTTGCTTGTTAGGATATTTTATCACAGCAACAGAAAAAAAATTAAGATAATCAAAACACTTTCAGCAAACAGCAGCTGCTGAACTTCAAAACTGTATTCCCATTGGCTTCCACTGTCTTTAGAAAAATTAACTGATATGCTGTAAAAAAAAGTGACATAAGCCTGGAATATAACAAAATTTTTTATATTAATAAAAAATAATCCTAATGTATACATCTGCTGCTAGGAACATTACTAAAAAGTTAAGCAGATAGTCTCGAATATCCAAACATGAGATTCTTAGAATAAACTGTTGTCTAGATTTCTTCCAAAGAATGTTAAAAAGGAGCCAGGCAGTGGTGGCACACACCATTAATCCCAGCACTCAGGAGGCAGAAACAGGCGGATCTCTGTGAGTTTGAGGCCAGCTGGGCTACAGAGTGAGTTCCAGGAAAGGCTCACAAAGCTACACAGAGAAACCCTGTCTCAAAAAACAAAAACAAAAAACAAACAAAAAAAATGTCAAAAAGGAAAACTTAACATGTAAATAAAAATGTAAATTGCTATATGTAGAAAAGGTCTGTTTATGGCATGTCAGGTATATATGCTGAATAGTCAAGGATCAAAGAGTCATACTGTATCTTAGTCTCAGCTCTGCATTAGATACCAATGGGCAAATAAATCACTTTACTTTTAGGGGTCAGTTTCCTGAAGAGTCTTATAAAGAAATAGGACTATATGACAAAGAAAACTTCCCTTTGAGCTCCTGAAAGTCTAGGGTGCTACAATGAAGATACTACCCTTTGTGAGGCACTTCCTGAGTTCACCATTCTCATGGATACATTTAAACATATCTGTATTTGTGTTAACAAACCCACCAACTGCCAGGCAGTGGTGGCGCACGCCTTTAATCCCAGCACTCGGGAGGCAGAGCCAGGTGGATCTCTGTGAGTTCGAGGCCAGCCTGGGCTACAGAGCAAGTTCCAGGACAGGCACCAAAACTACACAGAGAAGCCCTGTCTCAAAAAACCAATAAAGAAAAAAGAAAAAAAAAAGCCACCAACTGCTATTAAAGACACTAAAGGTCCAGTTCAATTCATCTACATTTACGAACATAAAAACATCAGTACCTGTGAAGGAGAAAATGGTAGTGTTTTCACTGGTGTGTGTTTTAATGCTGTGGTACTGCCTTCATTGAACGAGCCATCCCCGAGCTCATTGCCTAAAGACTGACCCACTCGTATTCTTTTCTTCTTTCTGAGGATGGTGGGTGGAGTGCTAAACTTGACCACATTTGGGGATGTTAGAGGAATAGCTTCACTGTCTCCACCATTACAACTGTTCTTTTTCCCTTCAAGTACAAGACTGACATTAAATTGACATTCCATGGCTCCTTCATTATGTTGAATCCGCATTAGTTTAACTGGAGTAGACTTGACAGGAGAAGCAGCAGCATCAGAAAGATCGAAACTGGTAACATCACTCCATGCTACAGGATCCTACAAAAAATTGAATTCTTAACTCGTTAAGCTGTAACCTAGTTAAATATTATCTGAACACAGAATGATAATTTCTAACAAGTTATTTACTTATTTTTACCAGCAAAAACAAACTTTGTCTAAACATCTTTGTTTAACTAAGTGGGACCACCTTAGAAGAAAATATTACAATTTTTTATAATACCAATTTGGAATATTCCAAGATAATGGTTCATCTAATGCAGTAGCTGAAATTTTCTGTCAGAATATTTTACATAAAAATAAAATATTATTTTAGGCTATTATTAAAAAGAATTAATTCATCATAAAATCATCCTATTAAACAGGAAAATACTATGAAATTCTACATAACGATTTGGTAATTTCTATGGAAAACATACTTTGATTTAGAAATTCAGTATAGTCAAGTATATAATTGTCATGATTCGACAACAAAGCCTTCTATAAATACTACTTTTTATTGGTGATACTGAAAATCTAGAGGCCCTCTAAATGCACGGTAACAGCAATGCATTCAGTAAATAAACTGTCTTATAGTCATATGATGGAATACTACAAAGCCTCAAAATTCAAGTTTAAAAAATATATTTAAGATCCAGGCATGGTGACACACGCCTTTAATCCCAGCATTCAGGAGACAAGAGGTAGAAAGATCTCTGCAAGTTTAAGGCCAACCTGGTCTACATATGGAGTTCCAGGTCAGCCAAGGATATATAGTGAGACCTTGTTCAAAAATTATATATATGTTAAGAAACCAAAGACAAGCTCATAATATAAGAAGAAGACAAAAATATAACATTACATGAAATGATCAAATCTAAATATACAGATTTAAATTTTCCTCTTTATAGCTTCTCTAGTTTCCAACATTCTAATGTACTTAAGTAATTCATCTAATAAATAACTAAGTTTTTAATTCTAAAACATCTTTTTAAGATACATACTTGAAGAGGACTTAAACCTTTAATTTTTTTTTCTAGAAATCTCTACAAAAGAGATCAAAACTAGGCAATGCTTAATATTTAAGTTGGTATTTTAAGTATTAAATGTTAAGTATTAAACTAAGCTTCTAAACATGCAATTATTTCATAATTTCAAACTTACAGATTCAATAAGTTCTAGAGTCTCTGCAAATTCTGGGATGGTCTGTAGAGAAGACAGTACAGCATTTGCTTCTACAGCTAGAAACTTTGTGGGTGAATTCTGCTGAGCAGAAACAGTCTGATTTTCATCCATGCTATAAAACTCAGTTGTCTGTTCCTCAAGGTTATTCAGTGTGTTAGACATGCTATCATCCATGAGGAAACTGCCAGACCAGCTAGAAAAGCTTCCAGGTTGCTAAAAGTACAAAAGAAATTTGAATATTATTTGCAATTCTCAATATAGGTATGAATTTAATTTTAAATAAAAATTTCAGTAACATACTTTATCTCATTTTAGCTAAAAAGCTAAAAAGTACCCAATACAGCTTTTCTTCAATATCAGTATACAATTTGTTTCCACAGTCTCATTCCTTGACCAGATTTCCTCTTGCTAAATAGATTTTAACTATAAAGTCACTGTCGATAAAATTAGCACTTACATATAACAAAGACCTAAAACTTGACCTCATTTTCTTTTCAAACTTCATTCCACAATTCCATTCACAACCCTCCTTCAAGAATACCAAGCTTTAGTACTTTTAACTCTCTAAGAATGATATTCTTTCACTCTGGAGAGTAAAACAATAGTTTTACATACTATTGTTCTCTTTATCTAGAACATTCCCTAACCCACAATCCACACAAAGTGTTAGTCTTGATTTAAGAGATAGTTTAAATATTAAGAAGTATGCCATGTGCCTGATAATATACTTTCATTTGTTCTATTTACAATATTGCCCTAATTCATCTATCTTGCTGCTATATATAATATATAATCATCCTGGGTTTCAAGACTGAATTCAGGGCTGGAGAGATAGCTCGATGGTTAAGATCACTAGCTGCTCTTCCAGAGGACCTGGGTTTAATTCTCAGCACCCATATGGCAGCTCAAAACTGTGATGTATATTTTACTTGCTCAAACATAAAACAAAAAAATCATCTTTGGTTGACTTGTGTACAATGCACAATCTATACTTGTATTAATGTAGATATGTATGTTACCTTAAAAGTTTATGTATTTTCAGAGCAAGGGGACCAGATACCAATAAAAACAGATGGCCCAGGTGATCCAGCATTCAAAACAGCTTCAAGGCTGCTGGCTGAGATGATCCAGCCTCACAAAATACTCCAGTCAAGACTGAACAATTATCCTGATTTTCTCAAGGTTCCCCCAAAGATACCAGCACCCACCAACAACAGGAAGTAGTCTAGAGAATGACGCCCACATTCCCAAGAGATGGGGTATGGGTGGCCTTTGGTTATTCAATGGATTATAAATGTTTGTCATTGTTTAGGAAGGTTGGTTACAAGTTGTTATTGGTCATAGCCAGAAAAAAAGCTAAACAAAAGAGTCAAATTCAAAGATCTCTTTCTAAAGGAAAAAAGGGGGATATGATATAGGAATGACAGGAAAAAGGGGTAGATTATTTAATCTACTTTAATCCAAAACAACAACTATTAATCCCAAAATATTTTACATTGGTATGGATTTTGGTATAAATTTATAAATTTGATATAAATTTAAAGTTATTTTTGTTGTCTGTATGTTTCAACTCGTTTGGGGTATTGTATTTATGAAGCTCATTAAAAAAATATAATGTATAATTAAGAAATACAGATTAGTAGTCATCTATAATAGTCAAACTTACAGTCAGGTTAGGTATGCTTTCAAGGTCATACAGAGATATATTTAGATAGATAGTCTTCAAACACTTCAAAGACCTAGAGAATATGACATTTAACATGTTTAATAACCTAAGGCTTTTCATGACAGTGAGCCACATCTGCTCCTGACAGCACCAATCTACTTCATAAAAGGATGATGGGCATCAAAGAACCTCCATATGGAGTTTGCTTTCTTTATGGCAAAAGCTAGCCACTGGGCAAAGAAACTGCCCTTGCCTCAATTGCTGACAGTATACTGTCCAAACTGGACCAGCAAGATGCAAAAAAAAAGTGACTGCCAAACTTTGTCAAGACAAGGTAGGATAGTCTTTCAAAATTCCCTACTTCTCAAAAATGTCTGTCATATATACTAGGCCTGTAGGCCAACACTGTATGCTCCCAACATTACAGAAGAACTCTGGGTGACTGTCCAGACAGCCAGATGTCCCTGTCATCAGGTAACATTATACCCTTCTGGAATCTTTGATGGAGTTAAAAACTAAATAATTGGACTTAAAAGTTTTCCTTAGTTATAATAAAAAGGTAAATTAGGTATAAAACTTTAGACTCACAAGGATAAAAGAAATAGAACATTTTCTCTAAATTTGCCAAATACAAATGGATTGGATATTATAACTGTAATTCTTACTTGATAACTGTTGTTGTTGTATATGTTTACTACGTTAAAGTTAAAACTTTCCTTTTTTATTTAGACAAAAAATGCTGTGGAATAATCCTTCTGTACACTGTGAAAGTATGTTGTTCTCATTGTTAATAAAAGGTTGGTTGGCCAAGAGCTAGGTAGGATTTTCGGGGCAGAGAGAATGCTGGGAAGAAGAAGGGCAGAGTCTAAGGAGTTGTGAGCCAGATGCAGAAAAAGCAACATGGGAAGTTCATAGATGAGGTAAACAAGCCTCAGGGCAGTATATAGATTAATAGAAATGGGTTAATTTAAGTTGTAAGAGTAGGCTGGAACCAAGCCTAAGCTATCAGCCAAGCATTTATAATTAAGAATAAGTCTCTGAGTGGTTATTTGGAAGTGGCTACCAGGACACTGAGAAATTCTTCCTACACAGAGGCCTCTGGTTCAGTTCATAGCAGCCACATGTGGGCTCCAACCACCTATAACTCCATTTTCAGAGGATCTCACACGCCCTTCTGACCTCTACAATTTACCTAGCTGAGCAAAGCATAATGGAATTCAGTAAACTAGTAGTCACTATTATCACACAATTGTTTAAAAAAACAAATAAATGTGTATGAAGTCTTATCAAGTGTACAAAGTTTTAAAAAGTCAGTAATTTTCTCTCTTTTAATATAAAATGTGAATTACTTTAGCTAGCATATTTTTCTTATTAAATGAGACAGGTATGCTATAAGGTACTGTTATTATTAGTTTAAAAATATGTATTCTTCAACATTTCCACCCACAATTCCCCTCTCAATCCCCCCACACCTTCCCAACATTCCTCCAACACTATTTTTTTTAAAAAACCAAAAATTGAACTGGAGTGATGGCCCAGCAGTTAAAAGCACTGGCTCAAAGGACCTGGGTTTGATTCCTAGCACCCACATGGCAGGTCATAATCATTTGTAACTCCGTTCTAGAGAATCTGACACTTTATTCAGGCCTCCTAAGGGCTCATGTATGTGGTACACAGATATACATGCATGTAAAACACCCACACACATATAATAAAATGGAAAAATTAAAAATTTTTAAATCTAAAAGTACTTGAAATTTTTTGTAATTGTTTTGTTTTAGTTTTAGTTTGAAGCGCTGGGGACAAAGCCCAAGGCCTCAAACATAGGAAAACGCTCCTGCCACTAAGCTACATCCCATTCCAAAAATTTCCAGAATAGCTTAAACATCACATAATCATCTATAAATAAGGACTCTCTAAATGTAACTATTTTGTCACTTCTTTAGCAAAATTAAAATTAACATTAAAACAAGCACATTTCCAATCTTCCTATTTACTGATGGTTTATAGTTTCAAAACAAAAACTGCCTTTCCTATAGTAAAAATCTTACCTGCAATAATTAACATGTCATTTTAATAACCTTTTAAATAATGTAAGACAATATCACTTATTTCATGATACCAGCTGAATATTTCAGTTTATTCTATCAGAGTGATGCTGAGTTCCCAGTAACTCAACATGTTATTTGCCCCTCATTCACTCTGAAATCAGTGCTGAGACTGAACCCAAGATTCTAGTAGAATTTATATCATTTTTCTTAATTTAATACTCCTAGTTATTCTGACTAACCAAATCGAAGACATACATATCAATCTTTTTCTTTTGAAAGAGTTATTTAGAGAATATAAAATCTAAATGTTCCCGTCTGCTGCTATTATTATTATTATTATTATTATTATTATTATTATTATTATTATTATTTTGGTTTGGTTTTTCAAGACAGGGTTTCTCTGTGGAGCTCTGGCTGTCCTGGAACTTGTTTTGTAGATCAGGCTGGCCTCAAACTCACTGAGATCCACCTGCCTCTGCCTCCCTGAGTGCTGGGATTAAAGGCATGCACCACCACTGCCAAGCTTATCCTTCCTTTTTCCAATTTATTGAATTCATATCCTAAATAGACTAAAATAGAATTTTTCAAAGAAAATAAAAGTAAGTTTAGAGCTTATACTCTCTCTACATTTCTCATTTTATAAGCTTTTTCAATTTAATCCATCATCCATCATTACATGGAATGTCAAGTTTTTAAAATACACACAAAAAAATACAAATCAAAGTTTTTATTCTAAGTCTAATATTTATGATTTAATAAGAATTTTTAAAGTATCCTAATACAGAACACAAGACATAAGTCATAATCAAACCTCAAAACTGCAAATTAAAATGAGAAAAAAAGTGTACTAAAATGTGAAGTTACATTGAGAACACTCTATAGCTAAGAAAAAGCATAAAAGCATTCATATGAAGGACTCTTATAAACATAGATATATAAGCTCATTTCTTACAGATGGAAGCCTCTTTCTTCTAACTTCATTCTCAGCTGACATAAGAAGCAACTCAAGTTCCTTTATTTTTTTTTCCTTATCAGGATCTTCATCAACAAAGGGTTGCTAAAATAAGTTAAATAAGAGAGAAAAACAGGCACCATCACAACTGCTCTAAAATAGGGTTTCCCTTTTTGTTTCCTTCTGTGTAACCTATAATAAAGCTTAATGCCACTAAATCCAAATGCTACTAACATTTTAATGCTACGAAATCAATGTATCACAATATCTCTGGAATCTAAAAAGGTACTTCGTAAATATTTTCAACTTTGTAAAATAAATTGGGGGAAAAATAAAGACATTATTTCAGGCATGGTAGTGATTCCCCCACTCTGGAAACAGAAAGAAAGGAGAGTTTCAAGTTTAAAGCTATCGTGGGCTACATGGTAACACCCTATATCAACAAAGCAGAAAGAAAAGACAAGAAACAGGGGTAATGATATAGTTCAATTAGTAATTTGCCTACTGTGAGGAAGCCCTGGGCTCTATCTCCAGCACCACCTAAAACCATTCATGGTGGCCACATCTGTAATCCCAGCACTAGAAAGGTACAGATATGAAGACTACAAGTTCAAAGGCATTCTTGGGTACTTATCAAGTTCAAGGTCAGTCTGGACTACATGACAGTGTTACAAAAACAAATGAACAACAGCAAAAAAAAAAAAACAACTCCAAAACTAAAAAACATATTGCATTAACTATGTATTAAAAATATATGCCTGGAATATTTTAGATAACTACATTGTAATGTATTTTATACAATCCAGCAACTGTTTGAAAGATTTAAGCTGCAAGACTGAACAAATTACCACACTGGTGCTGCTGATCACCTCATACTGTTATGGTTTTTATTTTTCAAATTCATTTATACATTTTCCTTTAGTTTTATAATACTCAAAGTAAAAAAACAAAACAAAAACCCAACGCTTTTTATCCTACTTTAATAGGTAAGGAACTGAATACTAAACTTCTAAAACTATTTCAAAAGCTTTTTCTTTCTTTTGTTTTTTTTTGGTGGGGGGTGGGCACAGAGTCTTGCCTCAAATTCACATCTTCCTGCCCCTAACTTCCCAAGTGCTGGGATCACAGATCTTCACAGATATATCACAGAACATAGCATCAGGCTTCCTCTATTTTTGATTTCTGTTTTCATTTGTTTGATTTTTGTTGTTCTTGCTTTTAGAGACAGGTTTTATTCTGTAGCCCTGACTGACCTGAAACTTGCTATGTAGCGCTGCTTGTCTTGCACTGTGGCAGTCCTTCCTGCCTCAGCTAAAGAACTGGTATTACAGGTAAGCAATGTATAATGACTGCCTTCCTTTGTATTTTTGTTACAAATAAAACTTACCTGAATAAAGGCAGATGTCTGAACATGTTCAACACAATTGCCATCAGGTGATACATACTGATAACCAGGGATCTAAAAAATAAGTAAAGCATTGCTATTATAGGTTATACAATTTTTAAAAATTTGATGCCAAGAAAGCTTGTGATAAAAAGTAGAACACTGAGCAGGGTGGCACATGTCTTTAATGCCAGCACCCAGGAGGCAGAGGCAGACAGATCTGTGTAAGATCTCAGGACTAGATGGTAAGATCCTGTCTCAAAATAAACAACAACAAATAAATAAATAAATAAATAATAAATAGAGATTGGATATTTATTAATAACTTTGAAAATTCAAAACTACAATAGTTTTTACTTAATAATTATATCACCTGTCACCAGAGTATACTGATAAAACTGTAAGTGTAGGAAAAGAAATCTGTATTTTAGGTTTGTGTTTTTGTCTTTTGGTTTTGTTGAGTCACGGTTTTGTTATGTAGCCCAAGCATCTTGGAGTTAACTATGTAGCTGAGGCTGGTCTCAAACTTCTGATCCTCCTGCCTCAGCCTCCCCAGAGCTGAAATTACAGGTGTATATCACCACACCTGGCTTCCAAGCCTAGTTGTATCAGCCAATCAGTCCGTTTCCTACCTACCATATATTCTAAAATGTCAGCTTCTGAGGGTTGCCCTATTGCCTACAGAAGATAATAAGTTGTGTTCCTACTCCTATAAGCACCTCATGTCAGTCAATCTCTAAGTTAAAAAAAAAAACAAAAAACAAAAAAACAGGGCTTTTTCTGTTACTCATTTAAAAAACAATCAGAATCACTCATGTATTCTTTTTTTTTTTTTGGTAACTCCAATAAATTAGAAACTTATTTTTCTCAAAGTTTGCAATGAAAATATGCCACAGTATTTCAAACCAATGTATTTTTTCTTATTATATGGAAAACAACTCTTAAAATATTAAAATATATCCTTATCTTTCCAACATATTTTGGTTGAGATTATCAAACACTCCCTTAGCAATAATTAATTTTAAAATTATGTTCATATAAGTCAAAAAAACTTTAGATGGAATTTTTTCTAAGACAGAAGCAAAACCTTGTAGTTTATGTTATTGAAATCTAGGACTCAGAAAAAAATATTTAAAAAAACAAAACATTAAAATCCTTAAGGTCAAGTGTCAGCAAATAACTACACTATTGTCCCATCTTTTCCTACTAAGATCTCACTATTTTAAGTGGTTCTTTTAAAAGCATGTTTAAAAAAACTTAGTGATGCTCATAAAAAGTAAAATGATATAAAACCCAAGGCTCAGAAAACAGACTTTGTGTGTGTGTGTGTGTGTGTGTGTGTGTGTGTGTGTGTGTGTAGTTTTTGGTGCCTGTCCTGGATCTCGCTCTGCAGACCAGGCCGGCCTCGAACTCACAGAGATCCGCTTGGCTTTGCCTCTTGAGCGCTGGGATTAAAGGTGTGGAAACAGACTTTTTAATACTGGGCCTAATTTTATCTTTTGTTAGCTACTACCTGGTCCTAACAGTCTTTACATTTTATGTGAAAAGAACTAAGAATTGCTCATCACAAACTTGTAAAAAACAGACAATCGGGAAAAGAAAAAGTAAGTCTTATGAAGAGTCCTAAACAAATTTCTTACAGGTAGGTAAATGCATATTGTAAGGGACAAGACAGAGCTTGTCAGTTTGAACTTAGGTAACCTCTAATGAGTCTGTCTAAATGAAGGCTGCAATCACTCAAGTAAAGAGCAAAGGGGAACAAGATTAAATATCAACTATTTACTGTTCCCCAAAGGAATGTTTAAGTGATGTCTTACTGTTTCTCCTTTAAATGGTTCTATACACACCTGTGAGACAGGCAATGTTACAGTTACACAGAACCACATTTGAGGAGAAGCTACAGGAGTGTGAAAGCACATCTTTATGTCCACTGGAACATAAAACTACAAAGAATTAAAGAGTAGTGCTGTATGCACATACTACATTTCTTACATTACATACTACATTTCTTAATGTCAAAATCACATGTAAAAGGAAACTTTTAAATAAAATTTGTACTGAAATATTTGTCAAATTTATGGCTTACTTTTTCAATTTGGAAATTTAAATGTCTGTGTCACTGCCCAATACAAATTTTACTTATCCTAAAAAACCAAGAACCTTTCCCATATAGCAACTAAAGAAACTGTTTCTAAATAATAAAAATATTAAAAAATATGTGCCTGAACAGGTATGTAAAACTGATTCTGGGTTTGCAAATGGTCCATAGTCGCACAAGGTTTGTGCTGGAGTTTTGATGACGAGCGCTCTGATTTTATTCCATCTTGTAAGTAGCCCTCCTGCTCCACTTTTCTTCGCATCGTAGAATTCCAATGATTTTTGATAGAATTATCAGTCCTACGAAATGAAAGTGTATCGTTTTAAAAGGAAAAGGGAGTCCACAAATTTTAGCACTATTTATAATACACATTTTTACAGCTGGTGAAATTATGTACTTAAAAGGTCCCTGCTATCATAGTTTAAATTCTTACTGAAAGCACAGCAACAGGAAAGACAAAGAAATAACTAAAATAGGTCGAGAAGTGAGTAAGTGGGGTAGTTTTGGTTAGGGACCCAGGAAAAAGCTCTGGTGAGCTGACAGTGAAGCCGAGGTCTGAAAGTCGAGAATGAACTAGAAGAACAGGAAAACGTCAGGCACAGGGTCATCTGAAGCCTGTAGTCTCAGCACTTGGGAGACTGAGGAGCAGGATGGGAACTCAAGGCTAGCCTGGACAACACAGCAAGAACCTGTTCAAAAATAAAAACAGAAGAAAGCCTTCTGGATAAAAGGCATACCATGTGCAAAAGCCTTACATCAGGAAAAGGAAAAAAGAACAACAAAAAACTATCAAAAAAAAAGGTAGAGCTAGAGACACAGCTCAGGAGTGAAGTGCTTGCCTAGATGTCTATCATAAATGAGGTCCTGGGTTCAATCCTCAATTCCATTTTTTTTAAAGTAAAGAAAAATACAAATTACAGATTGCAAGTATTCTTTACCATTTCTTAGAATATTTTATTTATAGAAAATGAGTTCATCAGTTCCCTTTTTATAAAGATAAATTCCATTCTGCATAAAATAGACACTTATTAGAAACCTACTTTGCTAAGGCACTAAGCTAGGTTCTACACAAAGAAAAAGGTGCATAAAATACTGAATATATCAGAAGTTCGCAAGCCAAGATTAGTAACTTGGATTAAAGAAAATATAACACTGTGTCTTAATTTCCTATGAAACAAAGATATTGTTTCCTTTCATATATTTCCAAAGTATACAAAATTAAGAAGGAATACATATGAAAGCATAGTAAGTTACTATGAAGTACGACATAGACAATTATAAAGCATGAGGATGTATATTCTGAGTGAGATATGAAGTCTGCTGTGCTAGCGACTGCCAGAAAGTATCTGAACAGTACAATGAAGAGTGTACTTAGCACATCACAGTCTTTGAGGAAGATGTTATACTTCAGCTACATGGACTGAAGTACTGCTTTCACAGCTTAAAGTATACCATAACTAAGAACTGAATTTCCTTAATATACTTTCACAATAATTTATTTCAATCAGTGTATTTGCAATCCCCTAGCCTGGTGCACAGTACCTAATGTGAAAGAGATCTCTAATTTAGATTTCACCTCACCAGCTCGTACAAGGCTATGCCTGACTGGCAATAATACGAAAACATGACTTGTGGAGTAGATGTTGGTTACATAATTTAAAGGTCTGAATGTTTTATTGCACAAATTAATCATATTCCTTACCACAGAATTTATTATAAATGGCCCCAAATGGCTGCTTGTATATGTAGTCTGAATTATAAATAAAAGAAAGGGGTACTTGCAAATATAGTTAATAGTAAGGTAGCAAAGAACATGTTGAAGATCAGAAAAACAATGTACATTCATTTTTATAAGCACCTTCCAGGAAGTAATTTAGCAATTTCCGCCCAACGGTTTCCCAGCCGCTTATGTGCTTCATATATGATCCTGTCTTCTTCTTCTGTCCAAGAAGATTTCTTTACTTCAGGATTCAAGTGATTATGCCATCTTTCTCTACACTGCTTGCCTATTCTTCCTTTTAAATGTTTTGCAATTAAAGACCACCTTTTTGGTCCATATTTCTGAACTAATTCAATAACCTAGAAAGCAAAAACAAAGATTGAAAAGCCATTACCATGACAGAATTTTAAAATGTTTTGTTTTTTGTTTTTCGAGACAAGGTTTCTCTGTGTAGCTTTGCACCTTTCCTGGAACTCACTCTGTACACCAGACTGGCCTCGAACTCACAAAGATCCTCCTGGCTCTGCCTCCCGAGTGCTGGGATTAAAGGTGTGCACCACCACCACCTGGCAGAATTTTAAAATGTAACTCAAGCATGTCAAGGCTGGGGTAGCCACACAGAGTTTGCTGAGTGTGCACAAGGTCCTAGGTTTGATCTGAAACACCTCAACAACAACAAAAAGGGAAACAACTCCAAATTAAGAATTCCACTCAAAATAAATACATTAAATTTCAGCTATAACTGTAATTCACAAAAAGTAATTTTACTAATAGCTAATCCTCCAGCATATAGCAAGTTCAAAATCAATTCCCAATGTCAAAAAATTCAAGGGGCTAATTAAAGTAACTCATAAGCTAAACTATTTTCATATAAAATTAATTCAAAATAACTATAAATTTTCAGATTTGTCTTTTCTATTCTGACACCTTCAAAAAAACAAGAGAAAATAAGCTTCAACACAAAGTCAAATAAGTTCATTAGGAAGCAGGAAAGATCTTTAATTACTGGCTTTTCATTTCCTCCTTTACCAATCTGAAAAAATGCAGTATGTACATTTTTCCCTACATTTTAAACTTGGTTTTAGTTTACCTAAAATTAGAGTAACAGTTTATCTCCTCAGCAGCCTTCACTGCTATTCTGACCCACTGTCAAATATCATAATCATTCTACATTGGTGGATTATTTAAATTTAACATCTATCAATGTTTTTGTGATATGTGTCTACTTGTCATATTTTGAAAATAAGGTTTAAAGATTAAATGTGCAGCTCTAGTTATTGTTTCTGTGCTTGTTTTCCCAGTACTAGGTATGTTTAACAAGTGCTCTACCACTGAACTATATTCCCTTTTCTAACTTTCTACTTTGAGACAGGGTCTCAGTAAGTTGCCCAGGTATGCCTTGAACTTGCAATGCCCTATTTAGACCTACTGAGTAACTAGAATTATAGGCAACGCCACCAGGCCTAGCTATTAAATATCTTTTTAAAATATCTTTTAAAAGTTCCCACATCGTATTTTATTTATTATTATTATTTGCATCTTTATGTTTTGTAAGTATGAGTATAAGCATATACAAACCATGGTGACTGTCAGGAGGCAGTTCTCTCCTCCCACTGTGAATTCGGGGATTGCACCGAGGTTGTCAAGTTCATACAGCAAACCACAAGAGCTTGTACCAGTTGAGCCATTTCACCAGCCCCAGATCACACATTTCAAAACTTATCATTGGCCATAAAGAAAAATCAGACCAGTCCTGAGCCTAGTGATACTTTGTTTCTTTGCTCCTATGGGTACTAAGAATGCTCTAATTCCCCAAGTACATTAGCAATAGGCAAGCTTTAAAGGGCTTGAGTTAAAGAGCAATTCCTAGTATAAGGCAGATGCTTCTGTTCTTCAACAGGTTTTATTGCACAAATAATTGGGTTTTGTATCACAAACCCTCTGGAAACATGGAAACACAATGTTCTGACATTTATTTAGTCCTGGGTTCATTTAAGATCAAGAGGAAAAATTACAAATGATTTCTTTACATATCAAATTATTGTGTGAAAATAAAATTAAAATTCACTCTTAATATTAATTAAACTATGCCTTAAATGTTGCTAAACCAAACTTTAAAGCATTCTTCCTTTTTTAAAGCCCTCAGAAAGGACTGTATTCATTATATGTGGTTTCACTCATTTTTGCCACCCCCCCCCAAGGGGGCGGAGGGAGGGATGGGCAGGGGGTGGAAGGGAAGCTACATTTCAAGACATTTAACAGTCAATTCTTACGCACATAGCCCTCAAAGAATAGTACCAAGTACTTAAAGTATGAACTGGGAAAATACTCAAGTTATAAAAGTGCTTTCCTTGCAAGCATGAAGACCTGAGATCCATCCCCAGAAACTACATTTTAAAAAAGCCAGGCATACTAGCATGCACTCGCAATCTCAGGAGCAGGGAAGCAGAGGGCAGGTCCGTGATGCTCACAGGCCCACCAACTACCCCTACCTGGCAAGCCTAAGGCCAATGAGAGACCTTTTCATAAAAAATGTTGGATGACACTGTCTTGTGGAACACCACCACCAATGGTAGTCCTCGGGCCTCCACATGTACGCACACAACACATGTATGCCCACCTCCAACCCTAGCATGCATACATACACACACACACACACACACAAAAAAAAAAAAAAAAAAAAAAAAAACACACTTTATGTGTTACAACATGTCAATAAGAAAATAAATCTAGCTGGGCAGTGGTAGTGCACACCTTTAATCCTAGCACTCAGAAGGCAGAGCCTGGTGTACAGAGTGAGCTCCAGAATAGCCAGGGCTACACAGAGAAACTCTGTCTTGAAAAACAAACAAACAACAAATATATAAAAATAAAATAAAACAAAACTAATAAATAGTAAATAGTTGAATTAATCTAGTCTACCTACACAGTGACATAAAGAATATGAACTTGGGGCAAGTGAACGGCTCAACGGCACTCGTCCTTAATGACCTAAGTTTGATCCCTGAGACCCAAATGGTGGGTGGAAGGAAAGAACTAGCTCCCAAAAATTATCCTTTATCTCCATATATGAACTGTGGCATGAGCATGCGTGCACATACATGTATCCAAACATATACACACAAATAAATACTTAAATTTATTTTCAAAAGAATATGAACATGTTACCCTCTGATCTTCTTCTTTAGTCCAAGGACCCTTTATCAATTCTGGATTTAAAACCTTCTGCCATCGGTGTTGGCACTGAAAATCAGAACGGTTCTGAAAGAATTTGGACATATTTATTATTGAATAAATGTCTCCCAGGAAACAAATTAGCCCAAATTTAAATATACCCATATGAACAAAATATGAATCAATAGTATATTCAATATCAAACTTTTGCATGTAATATTTATTTTACCTGCCTAAAATCCCAATTCTGTTCTTTTAATTAATCACAAGTTTAGACTACAAATTAAAAACAATACATTTGTAATTAAGTATGTACCTCTATACTATCCTTTATAAGAAAGCAAGACATAAGCCATAAAAAATTAATCCAGAATTGAGAAATAAATGACAGTAGGCAGAAAACTATATGAAGTGGATATATGACTTTAAACATAGCAGGTCAAATTCATATAGTACAACAGTTAAAAAAACAACCCTAAAGGTATCACTAGACTTTAGATGATATTAAAAGTGTATTTATAAATGATGCTCCTTCAAATTATCAATAAACATGAAACATTTTTATAAAAGATATGAATTACACTTCAGTTAAGTGGATTAAAGGTTGACACTTCAAAAAGAAAATGAACTGGGGATACAGCTCTGGGATATAGTGTTCCACTAGTATGCATAAGGCCCCAGGTTCAATCCCAGTACCAAACACACACACACACACACACAGAAAATGAAACAAAGTAATAAATAAATGAAGCCTTATTTCAATCTATTCATGACCAAGTATCTACAAAGTATTGCTCAGATAATAATAAATAATGACTAATATTTTGTTATCAATTTATAATTTGTAAAGCTATCTGTTCATATGCTAGATAATAGATAATCTAAAAATATATAAGGGATATATATATGGGATATATTTAATAGAGAAGGTATATATATATATATATATATATATATATATATATATATATACATACACATAATATAAAAGGCCTTAACATAGGTCAGCATTGATAGATGGAAGCCATAAATGCTCAGTTTCAACAAGTTAATAAAGTCTGGTGATAAAAGGCATTAATAGAGAAGATATATATTAATATAGATATAGATCAGCAGTAAAGTGCTTGCTTAAATGTACAAGGTCCTAGGTTCAATTCCCAGCATACCAAAACAAAAACATAAAAACATTTCTCACAAATATTTGTAAAGTCCTAATCAAACTTAATGCCATTTTTGTTTTATGGTAGTAGTCTTTTTAGGCTTCTGGATAAATGCTGTACAGGTTGAGTATCCTTTATCCAAAATTCTTGAGACTAAAAATGTTTCAGATTTCAGGGTTTTGAAGATTTGGAAACATTTACATATACATAATGATATATTTTGGAGATAGAACAGAAGTCTATAGATGAAACTCATTTATGCTTCATATCTACCTTATACACATAATCTAATAATTTTATATATTTTAAGCACACCTAGCATTTTTACTGTGACATATTACATGAAGTCAAGTGGAAAACATTCTACTATGGCTCTATGTCAGTATTCAAAAAAGTTGTGAATTTTGAAGCACTTCAGATTTCAGATTTTTGGATTTGAGGTACTCAACCTGTACTAGAAAATTACTTTCTAAACCATTAGCAAATAACTACAAACATACCAGAAAAAAAGTTAAGCAGCTGTTTTAAGGAATGAAGCCTAAACTACACAGACACATTTCTGAAAAAAATAGACTATGTCAATCAATGCCTTAAGTAAGACATGTTATTACAGAAATACATTTCCCATTTCACTTACTTGAAGATGACTAGCAATTAGAGCCCAATCATCAGTTCCATGTTGTTCAACCAACTTCTTTAACTTGTCATCCTATTAAGAGAGGTATAAGTTTAAGAACATGTTAGTGAATGGTTTATATTCTTAAATTTATGGATATTCTTCAGAAGAAGAATTAAAAACAATTCAAAAGACAACTACAATAACACTTAATATTAGGATTGCTGTCTGTCTTTTATTATTGTGTTAAACTGCACTGACTTTGTGAAATTCGAACTAAATTTGTCTTAAAATTTGAATGTGAGTTATCAATACTGTTTTGTGAATGAATAGAAATAAATTTAGAAACAATAAAAAAAACAGTTCAAGCTAAAAAAAAAAAAAAGAGAGAGAGGCATAAAAATAAAAATTAAAAATCTTTCCCCATCCTGTATGTAGATGACATTCTCATTCTCAAGTCATATTTGGTACTCTTTTCTTTTTGTTTTGTTTTTGTTTTTGTTTTTTTCGAGACAGGGTTTCTCTGTGTAGCTTTGGAACCTGTCCTGGAACTCACTTGGTAGCCCAGGCTGGACTTGAACTCACAGAGATCTGCCTGCCTCTGCCTCCCGAGTGCTGGGATTAAAGGCGTGTGCCATCACCACGGCCAGGCTTGGTACTCATTTTGAGAAAAACTAAAGTCACTATCACACAAATCCCCCACTTACTATACTATTTCAGTAAATCCTAAACAACCAGTTGTTCGTGTCACTGATTTGTCCTTTGTTTTGGGGGTTTTGTTATTGTTTTTCAAGACAGGCTTTCTCTATGTAACAGCTCTGCTGTCCTGGAACTCGCTCTGTAGACCAGGCTAGCCTTGAATTCAGAGATCCACCTGCCTCTGCCTCCCTGGGAATAAAGGCATATACCACCATTGCCTGGCAATGTCCTTGATTTTTTTAAAAAAGAATGTACAACTGAGTTGATAGATAATTTGTCCTCATTGTTTTTATTAAAATGCCATTAATAGCCGGGCAGTGGTGGCATACGCCTTTAATCCCAGCACTCAGGAGGCAGAGGCAGGCAGATCTCTGTGAGTTCCAGGCCAGCTTGGGCTACAGAGTGAGTTCCAGGCCAGGCTCCAAAGCTACACAGAGAAACCCTGTCTCAAAAAAAAAAAAAAAAGAAGCCATTAATAGTATTAATTGATAAATATGAGACTAGTAAATTTTGCCAGGTAACTACCTCATCTCTTGTCCATTTTACTCTGTTCCAGAGTTTTTTCAGTCCTTTTTGTTGAGGTACTTCATAATCATGATCAGCATACTGAAGGTCGTCATCCTCGTCCTCACTACAAAAGAACATAGTATGCAAGCTCAAAATTTTTATTTAAATTATTTAATTCAAGCACTGAATCTGTATATGCAGGCATGACTAAAGAAGCTACTCGGAATAAAGTAGTAAATATCAGTGTAAAGATTAATCAAAGTATAGAAAACTAAGTCCTAAAAGGGGAAGATGGGAACAATAGAGGGTGCTGGAATACATGTGACATGAAAGCAAAAGGGACTATTAGGGGAAAGGAAGGAGACCTGTGAGGAAGGGTGAGCAAAGGGAAATCAGCAAGCTACAGGTTCAGTGAGAGACACTATCTCAAAAATAAGTTGGAGAATATGGAGGAAAACAACCAAGACTGTGTGCACATGCACACATTTGTACGTATACACACACACACACACACACACACACACACACACACACACACACACATACAGAGAGGGAATAAAATTAAAAATAATAGCTGAGGACATGAGATGACCCAAGAAAATTGATACAGTAAAAAAATCAGAGCCTGAGTTTGTATGGAGTGAAAAAAAGAAAAAGGGATTTTAAAGACTGAAGCCTGGAAAGGAGGCAAGCCTCCATGATCATCTGAATTAGAAGATACTGAGTATCCAGAGGATTGAAAAAAGTAGGGAACATCTGAAAATGACACTAACATTTGTTTAAAACTCTTTAAGTACCAAAGAGTATGGCCGTCTATTAAGTTTCCCTCTAAAAATTTCACAACGGGCTGGAGAGATCCTTTAGGCGTAAAGCATACTTGCAGATCTTACAGATGGCCTGGGTTTGGTTCCCAGAACCCACATGGTGGTTCCCAGCTGCCTATTCTAGGGGACCCAACACCCTTTAATGGACTCCCCAGGCACCAGGCACATACACAGTACACATCACTCATACACACACACACACACACACACACACACACACACACACACACACACACACACACACAAAAAAAATTTTTTTTTAAAGAAATCTTGCTAAGCATGATTTAATCCCAGCACTCAGGAGGCAGAAGCAGATGGATCTCTGTTTGAAGCCAGTCTGGTCTAAATAGGGAGTTCCAGAGCAGGTGAAGCTACACAGTGAGATCTTGTCTAAAAAAATTTTAAATAAATCAGCCGGGCGGTGGTGGCGCACGCCTTTAATCCCAGCACTCGGGAGGCAGAGGCAGGAGGATCTCTGTGAGTTCGAGGCCAGCCTGGTCTACAAAGTGAGTTCCAGGAAAGGCACAAAACTACAGAGAAACCCTGTCTCGAAAAACAAAAAACAAAACAAACAAAAAAATTTAAATAAATCATTAAAAGAAAACAAACTTCACAACTATAAGAGAGGAGTTTTGCCACTATTGCCATTTCCCAGAGTTAAAAACACTTGGACTTAGAAAAGTAACTTCTTCCCAAAGTCTCACCAAATAAGGCATGGCTGAGTTCTAAAGCTCACTGTCCAACCACTTTAGTATATATAACACATTGGGAAAATGGGGAAAGCATACTAAGAAGTTACCGAAGGCAAACCTCAAGTGCCTTCTAAAATGAGAACAAGGTTCAAGTTGTAACTTTATAACCCTAAACATACTAACCTCTCAGGATTGTAAGATGACTCTAATATCACCTACCTTTAAGAAAAGATGATTTAGTATTATGTAAATAGATCATCTAACAGTATTTAAAATTATTTTTCCTTACTAAATTTAACTCCTAAAAAATCATTCTGATTTCAAATATCAAGTCTGAAGATTTGAGTATATTTAGTGCAATATATGAATAACTTCTAGTATCTAAATGTAGTATACAAATTCAATCTTACAAAATTTAAGTCAAGCTGTGGATTTTATGCACACATAATATACCCTTTGTAGGAACACCTAATTTCCTCTGACTTGTCAAATCCATTTGACCAAAATTTTCCATATTTGTGCAGACAAAACATTAAACTCCTCTAGTCTCTTAGCTATGATGTCTATATTGTAACAATAATCTGCTAGTCCTTAATATTGTCGTCAAACTATGCCTCAAACCAATACACAGGTTTAATTAAAGAAAATACCTACTAGTAGCAGCCAATATCTACTATCAGAAATATCATGGGATTAACCAAAAGCACACAATAACATGAAGATGCTTCAAGGTCCAAGAATTTCAAGTTTCTAAGTAAGCTCCTTAGCTGGACAATGCTCCATTCTGTAGTTTTTAGAGTATCTGCTCTTTCTTTATCTTAACGCTAATCACATTTGCCAACCTTCCCGACCAAACAGTAAGCTCAACAGTATAAAGACCAAGGTTACCATGTTCACCTCCCTGTCATTCACAGTACCTGTCATTCAAATATTTGTAAGATCAATGAATGCTTTTCTTATTCTTCCTTCTCCTCTGTTTTATACTACAAAATTTGCAGTATTCCATTTCAACCCATCCAAAATGTCTGCCTTGCTCAATACCAGTGTGATCTCAAAGTGGATACAAGAAAGCAATGGGGGCAGGAGGGGGAGGAGACTCTAGAACAGTGGTTCTCAACCTGAGGGTCATGACCCCTTTGGGGTAACCTATCAGTTATTTACAAGAGTAAATATTTACAACAGTAGCAAAATTATAGCTATGAAGTAGCAGTGAAATAATTTTATGGTTGGGGGAGGTCACCACTACATGAGGTTTACAACATTAGGAAGGTTGAGAACCACTGCTGTAGAAAGAGGAGGAGGACATTCTTTTTTGTTAAAATCCAAATGTAGGGCTGGAGAGATGGCTCAGAGGTTAAGAGCACCGACTGCTCTTCCAGAGGTCCTGAGTTCAATTCCCAGCAACCACATGGTGGCTCACAACCATCTGTAATGAGATCTGGTGCCCTCTTCTGGCCTGCAGACAGACATACAAGCAGGCAGAACATTGTATACTAAATAAATAAATCTTTAAAAAAAAAAAAAAAAAAATCCAAATGTACCTCCATGTGGTAGAATTTTAAGAAGCAGAACCTGCTAAACAAACTTTTAAAGGAAATTCAGCATACAAGGGGTTGGTTGAGGATATCTAAACCTAGCCTAACCTTTCCTGGAAATGCCCCAACAACATTACCACTTCCTGACACCCCAAAAAAACTGTCAGGCATGCTTGTCACAAGTTCTCTCCGTCCTCATTCCTCTCTGGTCTCAAGAGCTTCCATCACAACATATTCAAAACTAATTTTTAACTAGGTTATCTCTATGCTAAAACATTTTAATTTAGAAATATGCCTGTATAGATCTTTAATAACCACAAAAATACCTATATAACATCTTATCTGTACAAAATCCACCTTAAAGTTCTTATCAATTTATTTAAAGGATATGAGTTGCAAAAGTGTTACTTTGGTCAAAAAGACTAGTCACCAAGGAGTAATTTTCCTAAAACCTTGTTCACTTTAAAACTCTCTGTTCTTTATTTTTTGCAGGCATACCCTGTGAGAAATTTCCATTTCTTCATGAGGTTGTACTGTTTTGCACTTACCCTGGTCATCAGTTTCCGACAGTGAGCTGTATTTATAGTCCACTCAGCATTCAGGAAGCTGGGCTGAACCGGTGAGGGAAGGACAAGGGAACATACAGTAGGATTCTTAGAACCATCTACCAGTGGGACTTTCCTAGCATTTGACTAATCTACCTCTTAAGTGTAGCACCAACTTTTTGTGCACGGGCTTTTGTTTTGATTTCTGTTTTCAGAGATGAGTGTTAAACCACAGCCTTCATCTATGCTAGACAAGAATCACACCATGAAGCTACAATCCCTAGCCCCACGTTATTTCTATGCACATTTGACTGCTGGAAACATGGTACAATTTCTAGTAACATAACAAACAAGCCTAGAAATATATCAGTTTCACTAACTGTAACAAGAAAATGCCTAACTCTGCTCATAATTTACTAAGAAAAAGAAGGGCGTGATGGGGCCAGCAAGATGATTCAGAGACAGTAGTGTAGGCTTCAACCTAAGTTTATCTCCAGGACCCACATGGTGGAAGGAGAGAGCTGACTCCTGAGAACTGTTCTCCGATCGTAGCACAAGAGCATCTGCACATGCACACGTACAAACATACACATACAACTATAAAAAATAATTTTAAAGAAGGATAATATTCAAACGTAACCTTGTCAAAGTTCCACTTTCACCATTTAGCAATGAAAAGATGCTACTGCTTGACAGCAGTGGTTAGAAACTGTAGACAGATCCAATCATCTTTCAATGTTTTACAGCATTTGGGGGCATTTTTGTACTGCAGAAGTCAGTGCTGGTGATATGTACTGATTAAGTAAAACTGAGCTTTCTACCATGTAGTTAAATGAATGAATGATTTCTACTCTAGCAAGATTGACCGAGAGGACAAGAGAAGTAGATAGAATACTATTCTAGTTACAAACCAAAGGTTTACCAATCTAAGATTTGGTTTCCACAATCACTGTTATTGTTCTTATTTAAGTCAAGAAAAATTCTTTTTTTAAAGTTAGTGTTGCAAGCCTAGTTGTTATTTTCTTTTTGGTTTGGTTTGGTTTTTGTCGCAACATCTGACTATCGCAAGATAACCTTGAATTCACTACTAATCTAGGCTGGCCTTGAACTAATGATCCTCCTTCCTGTCTTCCAAGAGCTCGTATTACAGATGTGCACTGCCACAACTGACTAGAAACTGTTTGGTGGGTAAATAAAATGAGGAAGATGATTCTGAAACAGCAAAAAGAAGCATAAAAATATCTGTAACATGTTAGGCTAGGAAATGGGTACTTTTACATTGGGGTATAAGCTAATAACATACGATAGTCATGACTTTACTTGTGAATCAATACACAAAATTACACTTGTTTTTTAAGATAAAATGTTTGGGAGAAGTACAAACTAACAGACAACCTAATAAAGACGAGTTAAACAAAGGAAAGGTATAATTTACTTTTATTGAAAAAGTAACCTCTATTTTGAAATTAGCGAAATTAAAGAATTTGTTTAGTAAAACTGCTTCAACTTGATCACATTTTTAATACAAATTTCCTTAAATTTCAAATAGTTATCATAATAAAAAATAAAAAGCTGGTCATAATGGCTCATATCTGTAATTTCAACACTTGGGAGGCTGAGTCTAGAAGATTTTCATAAATTCAAGTCCAGCCCAGGTAACATAGTGAGATGGTGAACTTTAGGCTATCCAGTACTACAGAGAGAGATCCTATCTCAAAAAAAAAATCTTTGTTATACTTTTTGAGATTAGGGCAACTGTATATTTAATTCTTTTCAGTTCAACTGCACTCAAATTATGAGAATTTACCAAGTTAATTTAACAAAGTGAAACTAGGCCACCCAGTGGTTAATATGGTATACTGCATGCATGAATACTAGCTTCCACCTCCAGACAGCAAAATAGTATTATTAGAGTAAGATAAAGTTTAACTTCAGATAATCTGGACCACTAATATTACAAACACTGAAATAAATACTGAAAAGAGATCTATATAACTATCCATAAACAAAAACAATGGACAATATTTCTAATTCATTTAGAGAGTGTATATTTTTAAACAAACAAAAAAAAGGGTAACAAAAGTTATCAAAATAGCATACACATATGCCAGGCAGTGGTGGCACACACCTTTTATCCCGGCACTCGGCACTCGGGAGGCAGAGCCAGGTGGATCTCTGCGAGTTCGAGGCCAGCCTGGTCTACAGAGCGAGATCCAAGACAGGCACCAAAACTTACACAGAGAAACCCTGTCTCAAAAAAAAAAAAAAAAAAAAAAAAAAAAAAAAAAAAAAAAAACCAGCCTACACATTAAAACTATAAGCTACCTTACATACTAAAAAGTCCAAATCCCTTATATTAACAAATAAAACCTGAAATAGATTATATCTGCTTTCCCAAAATAATACTGCTAAAGACGAAGCTAACTTAAAAAAATCCTTTATCAGTTTTATATACATTCACTTCCACTCTTGTTTCTGGAAAAAAACAGCAAACTTGCTACACACATACACACAACTGCATACATACTACTAAGAAAAAACTTCCTGTGTAGAATCTAGCTTTCATCTTATCATTTTAATTTAATCATTGGTCATCTTAAGTATAAATATCTTAACCTGTACTTAGTAAGTGGCTTTGCAACATCAGAATTATTGTGAGTTTATTTTTAAGTGTTTAATTGGCCTTTAAAAACTAGACTGGGGCAGTAAAAGATTGCTCGGCAAGTGTTTGCTGCCAAGTCTGTCAACCTGAGTTTGATTCTCAGGATACACACAGGACAAGGAGTGAACTAATTCCAGATAACTGCCCTTCACCTTGCACACACTGGCACAAACGCACACATGCATCCATGCACACACACGGGGAAAAAAAAAAGATAAAAATTGTAAGTACTAAAATAAAAATACACTTATTTTTACATAAAAATGCTTAAAAATCAAATGCATGTTGTTAACAGATATCCCAATAAAAGAATGAACTGCAAATTACATCATTAAAACCCCCATTGGGTTCTAAAATTATTTTAAGTCACAATACTACATGACCTTTTTCTATATGCAAATCTCAGTAACAGACTCTGCAGCTATTAAAAAAAAGAACCAATATCTTTCAGTTATTTCATATTTAGGTTAAACATTTTCTGTTCTTAGCTAGTTTGCTTTGTTTTTCAGATCACATAGAAAGAGTCTACTATAGAATTTAAGCCTATATCCTTATGAAAATTTCCATTCACATTAATAAGTGTTCGTATGCTGGAGATCTCAAAGTACTGAACGACTTTGTTTCTCTGTTATAAATTGAACTCATCTATACTAAGATTCTTAGGCAAAAAAAAAGTAGAGTCTCTAATGAAAAATATTTTACCCTCAAATATTTCACGTTATTATCCTCTAATATACATGAGTCATATTCAGATATACAAGGAATTTAACAGCCCATAGAACTCACTAAAGAAAACCCAAAGAAGCACACCAGAGATGATTTCTCACCACACCCTCTATCCATACACCCCAGAGAAGTGCAGTTTCACTGCAGCACAATTACTCCAGACTTATAACTCTTTGCACCGTTCTATATTGATTCAATTAATTTGAACTAACTGGCAAGAAATAAAAACCAACAGTACAACTAATGTGTAGAGGTCAAACTCACAGTACTGTTAATAAAATAATTTACAAGAAGAAGTTGTTAAATCATTTCTCTTTAGCCTACTATTAGGAAGCAAGATCAACTGTGACATGAAAATGCAAAAAACTGAGAGAAAAATGTGACATTCATATATCAGTATTTAACAGTAACTTTTAACTAAATGACGACAGAATTAGCCAAGATACTGTTTCAAGTAAGATTAACAATGATTCTAAGTAGATAATGGCACACAGTAGATATACACAAGTTCTCTTATTGGCTTGATACATTCACTTGTCACTTTACAGCATTTCCAAAACACTGTTAGACTTCAAAATTCAAAAAGCCTAAAGCAGTTACCCAGCAATCTTAATTATTTCTAAATTTGCATGTTTTCTGAAGATGGGAGTGTTACGTCCTTAAAGTTGTAGACCAGCAGTTCTTACCTGCATGCTCCTGTTTCATTTCCCAAAAGATAAGTGGCACGATCCGTAGTCATTTTTGGTTGTCCAGACTGGGGGGAAAAGGGCTACTGTCTTCTACTGAGTAGAGGTAAGGATGCTGCTAAAAATCCTACAACTATCTAACACAAAATTATAACAGTGACAAGGTGGTGTGCCTGTCGGTTGTATGCACATTTGTTCCACTTCAATGTTCAATCTATTCTGTAGCTGCTACACATAAAGTAATTATGTCTAAATTAAATTAATGTTGATACCTGCAGAACCATCTTACATGCAGCAGATGCTTAATAAATGAACAAAGCAAAGTATTTTATGTGTAGTTATTTTAAAGCTAAATCTTCAATGAATGGCTCCCAGTACTAAATTTCAACTCAGGAAATACAACTCTAAAGATTTTGAGGCTACGGATCTAGGTAAATGGAAGTATTTGTAAAAATCTGCCAAATACTTTTCAGGTTTCTTTAATACTGAAAATCGAGACACTAGGTTTTTGTCACCTGATTATTCCACACAATTTAGGAGTAGCTTTACATATATTGTTACATATATTGTATAAAATAAAAGTTAGGTTCATAAAGACATTCTAGCACATCTTTCAACAACAATAACAAATTTGTGTCCTGCTTGTTATAACACAGATACAGTCAGAATCAAACACGAACACTCGGAATGCTCAGTAACTACGACACATTGTTTTAGTATCAAGTTTACCCGAAGTTAACAACCTAACAATCTTCTCAGAAGATACTGAGAAAAAAAGCTCAGAACAGCAGTATGCGGATGACAGAAGAGATTAAGCAGGTCCCCTTCTTAAAAGATTTCCCAGAACGGTGCCCGCCCGGGTTTGTCACGGAGATCCTGTTTTGACTGGCACCGTAAGTCGGAGGAGAGAACCCCAGTTTCAAGTCTGGATCCAGGCAAACACAACCACTTCTGGAGTGTCCTATCCCCCGAAAGGACACAAACTTACCTGGCAAGAAACCTCCCCGGACGTGGCTGTGAGCTGTGGGAGAATCCAAGCAAAGGAGCAACCTGAGCCATTTGTGAGCGTCCCCCCACGCAGCGGTCCTGCCTCTCCTCTGGGGATGGCTGCGCTCCGGCCAGCGCGGCCGAAGCCGGTGTGGGGCAGCGGCAAGGAAAACCTACGGCCAGGCCCGAGAGGGCCTGAGTGGGGGACCGGCGGCAAAGGACCGCTAGGCCCGGCCCGGGGGGGATGTCACCCACCTGCGCGACCTCTTCGCCATCCTTCAAGTACCGCATAGGCGCGGGCTGGGCGGGGACGCGGGTCAGCCTCCTCCAGCCTCAGGGCGAATGCTCGCTCTCGGAGACCCTCCCGCCGCTTCTCCCCGGCTCCTTCCCTCAGGAGGCCGAGAGAGGAACGCAGGCCCGGTCAGGTCAGGGCCAGGCGGGACTGAGGGACAACAAGGGTGGACCGAGACCCGCTGCTCCTAGCCGCGGCCCGGCCCGGCCAGGGATGCCCTCAACATGTCCAGGAGGCGTGCTCCCGCCCTCCGCCCGCCCCTCCCGCCGCCTCCGCCTCCGCCTCGGAGCTGCCGGCCCGGCGCGGGCTCCGTCACGGGCGCCGACCCCCGCGCCTCTCCCCGCAGCGAGCAGCTCTGCAGCACTCGCAGCCTCCTGGCAGGGTTTTGTCCGCACCGCCGAATCTCGCGCCTAGCCTCCCTCCAGAGCCGCCGTTTGAATCTGCGCACGCGGCCCCGAACCTCATTGGCTGGCGCGGCTGCGCGCGGGGGGGGGGGCGGGGCGCGGGGGGCGGGGGCGCGGGGGGCGGGGCGGGGCGCTCGCGCGCGCGCGCGGCGAAGGGGCGGGGCCGGCCGGGGCTGGACCCGACTGGAACTCGCGGGGAGTCCGCGGGGGAGGGGGTTGGGGAGCGCCGCCGCGGAGCCTGAGGCAGGCGCGGGGGAGGCCCGGGTCGCGAGCCGAGCTGACAGGACCCGGAACGCTGTCTGAGCCGCACGGCGGTGGGGGGCGCCGCGGAGGTTGCTGGGAAGGCGAGTTCGCGGCCCGGAAGCGGCGCCGGGACCGATCCCGCCACGGCCGCCTCCTCCGGAGCGGTGCGGAGCGTGGTCCCCGGGGCGGGGACGCTCGGGGTCCTGGTTCGCGCGCTGTGAGCCTCGCCACTTAGGGGGCGCGGTCTTCCGCTTCACCTTCTGGCCAGAAATTTGGCGCGGCCGTTATTTTTTAAGCTTGCGTGAACTAGTTCTGCTCAGAAATGACAGGGAAAGTGGCCAAGACCCTGGGATAGCAGCATCACTTGTTTTCCCCAAAAATGAATAAAAGTACGACAAGGGGAAGACGATGTTATCTGGAGACTTGCGTGGAATGGGAAAGGGTTGGTGCTCAAGAAGCAGAACTACGACTTCATCTGCAAAGGGGGCGGGATGCGATGCGCGCTGGACGGGTGGAGGAGCCCGGAGCCCGGAGCCCGGAGCCCGGGAACTGCCCCGGAAAGCCGCAGGAACCTGGGAATCTTGCATAAGGAAAGGAACTTCTTGCAGTTTCAACTTCTCTAATAATTATGAATTACGGGGTTAAAGAAGCATACCGGGAGATTATTAACTATAGTAACCATTAGACACGGTGAAGAGCCCAAATTTGCAAGGCATCATGCTCTACTGCATAGAGTGCTGACCCACAGGTTAATATTGTAACAAACTGACATTTTTGCTATTTTGAAACTGTACGCTTCGTCTTTTGCAAATCAGAGATACAGGTGCAAATACAAATCAAGATGAGCTTGCAATTCGATACCATCAGGTAGATAACACTCGCTTTTAAAAAAAGCAAACTTCCTTTTTCTCAAGATACAGATTCTGGGAAAGGAAAGCACTTTTAAAATATTGTTTTCTGGGTTACTTAGTAACTTCTAAAGAGAGAGACTAATTTAGAAACTAATATTTTTTGAGGTAAGGTGTTGTTATGTACCCCAGGCTGACATCGAACTCACTGTGGAGCCCAGCTCGGCTTCATAATCTTCCTGTCTCAGCTTCCTCAGGGTTAGACTGTGGAGTGCAGTGGCAAGCTCCTCCTCTTAGTCTTCAAATGTCATTTGGAATCAGTGCTTTCTTATTTACTCTTGGGTCATACATTATTCCATTTATATTCTAACAGGAAGCAAAACTGCTATGTTTAAGTTATGATCAGTTTTTAGAACTTGAAGGCAAGTGTTTCCAATTTTGAAGTAAAATTTATTCCCATCGTTTTATATAGGGAAAAGTTCTCCAAAAGATAGTATTGACTTTGTATGCTATTATAAAATTTATTTTTAAGAAATCTAAAGAAATACAAAATCACTTAAATCTTATAAAACGATATGAAGTATGAAATTAAAATAGTTCACAGCCATCGGTATATACTAGCTCAAATGAATCAAACAGATTTGAGGGGTTTCTTAAAAATTAAACATTTATGACTGGGGAGACGGCTCAGAGGATAAAGCACTTGCCATGCAAGTGTGAGGATCCGAGTTCAGATCTCTAGAAATTTCCTAAGTCAGGATCAAAAAGCATGTCTCTCTGTAATCCAGAGCTCCCATAGCAAGATTGGAAGCAGATACCGGAGAATACTTGCACGTTCTCAGCCAGCTAGACTGTTTTTATGTAGTGGTGAACAAGACTGTCACAAATAAAGAGGAAGGCAAGGATCAACACCTAATGTTGCTATCCTCTGACCTCCACATTCGCAATGTGGTACATACACAAGCTTACATGCACTCACACACATTTTAAAAATAAACATTCAACACACGCCTTTCCCCGGGCGACCTGCCCTGGGCAGCAAGGCCAAAGGATTACCCTGCCCAGCGCCTGTCCTTGTGGCGCCAGAAGTTGGGCACTATTATGGTGAGGAAATACATGGTGGAGTATGGGAGAGAGAGAGAGAGGGTGGTTCATGTCCTGTGGAGAGAGGCAGATCTGAAGAGGTGAAGGCAGTGAGGAGCGGGCTGAGGTGGGTGGCCTACTTGCCACCCGGGGTCATGGTGATGTCTGGGCCTGAGCTGCTACCAAGGGCCATGCCTGGGTCCGTGGCCCTGCCGCAGCCATGGTCTGTGTTGCTGTCCATGGCTCCTGTTCCACCGAAGGTCAAGGGGACAGGGCTGCGCAGGGCTGGCCCCGCCCCTCTCAGGCTGCAGGCAGCACTAGGGAGAACTGGCCCCGCCCCTCTCAGGCTGCAGGCAGCACTAGGGAGAACTGGCCCCGCCCCTCACACCTGCAGCACTCCGGAGAGCGAGTCCTACACTTCTGAGCGGCACCGTAGAGCTGACCCTGTCCGCAGTGGCCTGGGTGAGACGGCCCTGAGGGCGTGAGAGTGAGAGAGCTGAGCCTGCCCCCCTCATCTGCCATGTGGTGGCGTGGGCGAGGGAAAGACGCCTCCCCCGCCCATCGCAACCTGCAGCAAGCAGGGACCCAAACCCTCACCAACTGCAGCACTCGGGTGAATGGGGCCCCGCAACTCGCCTGGGCAGCACAGTAACGCTGACCCTGTCAGCGAGGGGCATGGGGACAGGCAAGGATGAGCTGGCCCTGAAAACGTGAGCACGGGGGATCTGGCCATGCAGCGGTGTGGGCAAGGGAGAGATGCCCTCTCACCTCCCCCCCTCACCACCTATGGTAGGTAGGAGAACTGGCCCTGAGGTCATGAGAACAGGAGAGCTGTCCGTGCCAGTCACCGGCTACAGTCCTCGGCCGAGTGGTTCCTGCGCCTTGCCTGGGCAACACAGTGGGTCTGGCCCTGGTGGTGTAGGTGTGGGTGAGTCAGCCTGAGGGCATGAAAGCAGAACGGGCCCCGCCCCCACCCCCTTGCTCTTTGCTTCCTAGGGTGAACTAGCTGGAGCAATGCTGGAGAGCTCACCCTGGTGGTGAGGAGAGGGGACAGCTGGCGGGCTGACCCTACAACCACCCACCCCAAAATCCACCCCATCTATGATCTGCTGGAGCACATGAAAGACCCAAAGCTGCAGGATCTCCATGACAAGGGCAACAACAAGATAGCCAAGAGGAGTTTTAGCGAGGGCCCAGCATCGACAGTGTAGCAGAAATCAGAGGCCTTGAACCAGACCATGACTCTGCAATGAACACTCACAAGTAAAGACATGTGAACTAAAGGGGTTACTGTGTGACTCCCTGGGCCACACTACAGCGTCCACAGCAAGATTTCTCTCTCTCTCTCTCTCTCTCTCTCTCTCTCTCTCTCTCTCTCTCTCTCTCTCTCTCTCTCTCTCTCTTTCTCTCTCTCTCTTTCTCTCTCTCTCTCTCTCTCTCTCTCTCTCTCTCTTCTTCTCTTTTTTCTTTTCTCTTAAATTTTATTTTATTTTATTGAAGGGAGGAGGTTGCAAGGGCAGAGAGAGGATACACAGGGACAGGGAGACGAATGGGATTGAGATGCATGATGTGAAAGACACAAAGAATAAATTCAAAGTTTAAATAAATAAATAACATTCAGAGGTTTTATACTATTAAAGAACTCTCAAAATTCAGTGAGAGGAATAAAAGCAAAATCCACCAAAAAAAAATGACTAGGTTAATTTGCCAAAAAAAGATATAAAAATGAGCTGAGTGTGGTAGTTTACACTTGTGATTCAGCAGCTGGAAAGCAGAGGCAGGTGGACTGGGAGTTCAGGGCCAGCCTGAGCTAAAAGAAACTATCTCAAGAAGAAAGAGAAAAAAATGAAAGAAAAAGAAAAGGGAGAGAGAGAGAAAAAAGTGACAAGCACATGACAATATGTCTCGCTTCACTAAATCATTACAAAACTGCAGAGTTCAACCACAGAGAAGCCAGAAGTGTAACTCCCAAACTAAAAAGGCCGAGGCAAAAGGATTGTGAGTTCTAAGCCAGCCTGAGTTACACAATGAGACCTCATCTAACAATATATAATAAAAATACGATCACAATGAGATACTACTACCGAAAAAGGAAGCAAAGTGCTGGGTGAAGATGGAAATGGTCCAACAAACACAAGCCCCTGCTCGGCCCCGTAGGAATGCAGGTGGTTCAAGCACTTTGGGAGGCCTTCATAATGTCTTCATTATAATTTTTACAAACTGGGGCTGAGAGATGATGGCTCAGTGGTTAAGAGCACTTGCTCCTCTTCCAGAGGACCTGGTTTCAGTACCCAGCCGGTATGAGCAGCTCACAACGGTTTGTAGCTCCAGGTCTAGGGAATCTGGTGCCCTCTTCTGGCCTCCCTTGACACTGCAGTACAGGGACGTGTACTGTGTGTGTGTGTGTGTGTGTGTGTGTGTGTGTGTGTGTGTGTGTGATCAAAAATGGAAAATAAGTCAAGCATGGTGGCACATGCTGATGATCCCAGCTGAGACACAGGATTGCTGTGAGTTCAAGGCCAGCTGAAACTACATAATGAATTCTAAACCAGCCTGAGCTACAGAGTGAGACTATCTTAAATAAATAAATAAATAAATAAATAAATAAATAAATAAATAAACAAACAAACAACAACACCAACAAAATAAAAAATAAAAACACAAGAAGGGATCGCTTTCTTACTTTCTACTCAACAACCAAGAATGGTTTGGACAGACAGCTAAGCTTTTCCAGTGAAAATTCCTTCAACGTTTTTTTTTTTTTTTTTTTTTTTTTTGGTTTTTTGAGACAGGGTTTCTCTGTGTAGCTTTGCACCTTTCCTGGAGCTCACTTGGTAGCCCA